TACATCTGAGGGGAGTTCTCTGTGCCTCTTGGATTTCAATGTCTGTTTCCTTCCCCAGATTGGGGAAGTTCTCTGCTATAATTTGTTTGAGGACTCCTTCAGTGACTTTCCCTCTCTTCCTCTTCTGGAATTCCTATGATACGGATATTTTTCCATTTGATTGTATCGCTGAGCTCTCGAACTCTCCTTTCATGTTCCTGGATCAGCTTATCTCTCTTTTTCTCAGTTTCCTGTTTTTCTATAATTGTGTCTTCTAAATCACTTATTCTCCTTTCTGCCTCTTCAATCTGTGCATTGGATGCTTCCATTTTATTATGCATCTCATTTATAGCATTTTTAAAAATTCATCACACTATTTTTAAGCTCCATAGTCTTTGTAGCAATAGTTTCTGTGATGTCTCCCATGCCTTTTTCAAGCCCATTGATTAATTTTATGACTATTGTTTTAAATTCTTGTTCAGTTATGTTGCTTATATCTGTTTTGAGCAGTTCTTTAGCTGTCATTTCTTCCTGGAATTTCTTTGGAGGAGAGTTTTTCTGTTTCGTCATTTTGGTTAGCTTTCTATCTCTTATTAGTTTTAGAAGCTTGTTATGCACTTTGCACCTGCGAGTGCTGCTGTACCAAAGAAGGCTCTTTGACTGTCCAGAGCCTGTCCGTTCAGGAAGTGTTTTCTGAATGGTGTCTCTTGGTCTCTTGCCGAGACCTTGGTTATTTTATTTCCCTACTCGTAGTGGTATTTGGAATTCTCTACCATGTGTACTTTGGCTTGTTTCTTGAGTAGCTGCTATAAGGTTTTCTCAGTGGACTCTGTCTCCTTTTCCTCTGAAACTCCTGGATTCTGTAAGGGTTCCTATGGCTTCAGGCCTTCTCCGTTTGAGAGATGGGGGCGAGTGTAATGTACGGAGCTCCCTACTTCTCCTCCATCTTTCCTCTCCTCTAAAGATTTTATTTTTAAGTTATCTCTACAGCCAACATGGTGCTTGAACTCACTACCCTGAGATCCAGTCACACACTCTTCCAACTGAACCAACCAGGCACCCCCCAAAATCAAAATGTAAAATAAAGTCTTCTGACTATAAGCTAATTGAAATGTTCCAGAGGACCTCTGGAATATTTCAATGATTCTGTTTTCATCATAAAAGAGAGATATGAAACTAATTAGGCTTGCTTGGTAAGTTAAGTTACACAGGAAATTTTGTCAAGTAAATAATACTAAACTCTCTTGTATTTGTGTAGATATGTACTACTAAAGTCAGTATTCTGGAAATTGTATGAAATGCCTATAAATCTGAAAAGTCCTGGTATGTAATTACCTTAAAATGTTATGTGTGACCAACAATAACCAAATTGCCTTGCCCATTACATAGTAATGAATTCTAATCAGATCTTTAATCATGGATTTTTTAAGTCCTTTATCATTTATGGACAGTTATACTTTTTCTCAGATGCTTTTACAACATTTGCCTGCACATGTGTTTTATCTACAGTGAGACTCATGGAAAGAGCTCTGAGTGTAGGTTTATTGGGGTTTTTTGTTTGTTTTTAAAGCTTTAAACAGATTTTCAAAAAATATCTTTGTTTACTTTTGAGAGAGAGAGAGAGAGAGAGTTAAGCAGGGGAAGGGCAGAGAGAGGGAGACAGAATCCAAAGCAGGCTCCAGTTTCTTAGCTGTCAGGGCTCGAACTCATGGACCTTGAGATCATGACCTGAGCCGAAGTTGGACGTTTAATAGACTGAGTCACCCAGGCGCCCCAGAGTACAGGTTTTTAATAACCTTAAGATGATAAAACAAAACCTGGTAGGAATTTCTGGAGCTAGTGGGAAAACTGGATTCAATCAGAACAAAAATTACTATCACAAGACTAAATGAACTGAGGATGATTATAATTTTCATGAATTTTTCAGTTTGAAACATTGCTGATCTTTTAAGGTTTTGCTTTTCCAGATTTAAGGAAACTTTCTCTTAAGCTAACTATGATCTATAGCAATTTGACAAAAAAAACTTTTCAACAAATTAAAACATATACCTTTTCTTTCTATCTGATCCCTTCAGAATTTTCAGTGAATATTCTTATATTTTCATGGCAATGTATCCATTTGCTTAAGGTCAATAAGAATCTGTTCTTGTAACAAAACATAATTAAAAACATTGATTGTATTACTGAGGCTTTGACTGGAATGTTATATTTGAGGGAGAACTGCAAAAACTAAGATATGACCAGACAGCTTTAAGGAACTAAGGTTAATTATGTGAAGCCAATAAAACTCTTCGGGAAAACAGCCCAATACCTTACTTATGGGATTGCCGGCAACCTTACCAGTTAAGAAGGTCACTTCTTGGCAGGTGCAGAAACTTCAGGATATTTTGAGAATCTCAAGAAGAGAAGAATGAATCTAAATCTATAAATATTAAATGCAAAGTCTGATGGCGTATATTTGGCTTGGCTTCTGGCTTTGAGAGGCTATGAAAAGTTCAAGCTAGAGATTCTTTATAAAAAGTTCCAACAAAGCAGATTTAAAAGAGTCTATATGATAAATTGGTATTCTTGCTGAACTTTTATAAATAATCAGGCCAAGTTGTTTCTTTTTAAGTAGGTTTATTTTATAAACAGATCAGTCTTGATTTGACTATCTTTGGTAAAATCAGGGTGCTTATAAAAGAAAAATTATGTTTCAGTAATACACCTTTGTGGATATTAGATTCTAAAACAGTTCATTATAAATAATATTAGATCCATGGGGAATTTGGTTGGCTCAGTCAGTTAAGCATCTGACTTCGGCTCAAGTCATGATCTCCCGGTTCGTGAGTTTAAACCTCACATCGGGCTCCATGCTGTTAGCACAGAATCCCGCTTTGGATCCTCTGTCCCCTCATCTGTCTGCCCCTTCGCTGCCTGTGCTCTTTTCTCTGTCTCTCTCAAAATAAACGAACTTAAAAAAAAAAAAACCACAAATGAGACTAGATCTTTATTTTTTTCTAGTTTCCTTCAATGTCTGGCTACAACTCTGAATTAACATTACCAGTTTTTCCCCATCATTTTGACTTGGAATCATTTTGTAAATAAAATTTCTCCTTTTTCTGAAGCCTCATAAACTAAATATAAACAACTTGATGTAAACTTCAGAGAAGCTACCACAGACAGCTCATATATAGATAATCTTCACGCCTGTTACTCTGTGGGTCCCTCAGAAAGGTCACCAGAGACACTTGATGTACAAAGGAGTCTGCCAAATTGTCCCTGCCTGCCCTAACCCTATTTGAAGATGCTTTAGCCTGCCATCTAGAAATCTTTTTAACTGGCTATGCTCAGAACTCAAAATCAGTTTTATGATTTATCTAATCTTAACCATTATTTTTCTTTTGTTTCCATAAAAATGCCTCTTATTTACTACATGATTATTGAACCATAGGCTTAGCTTTGAAAACACATAAGCATCACGGCCTTCTAAAGTTCATTTAATTAAACTAGACCATTGTCAGAACTGAAAGACTGTTTAATGAGATAAAGCAATCTGCCAGCTCAACTTTGAATGTATGACACTTTTAGGGAAGTTTCAGAGGAGGAAACTGTAGGGGCCAAGAACAGACCACCCCAAAATATGACTACTTTGGCATAATGATTATTTTATTTATTGTTTAAAATTTTTCCCAGTTTAATTAATTATAATTTATTGTCAAATTGGCTAACATATGGTGTGTAAAGTGTGCTCTTGGTGTTTGGGGTAGATTCTCATGGTTCATCGCTTTCATACAACACCCAGTGCTCATCCCAACAAGTGCTCTTCTCAATGTCCACCACCTATTTCTCCTGGCATATTGATTATTTCAGTTATTTATTTAGTTTATTTATTTTTGAGAGAGAGAGAGACAGAGACAGTGAGAGCAGGGGAGAGGCAGAGAGAGAGGGAGACACAGAATCCAAAGCAAATGCCAGGTTCTGAGCTGTCAGCACAGAGCCTGACTCGGGGATCAAACTCACCAACCATGAGATCATGACCTGAGCCGAAGTTGGATGCTCAACAGACTGAGCCACCCAGGCACCCCATATTTATTATTTTAAGTAAAAGTGACTTAAGAAACAACCTATGCAAACAAAACAAAATAGAACCAACTCCGACAACCCCCCATCTTTATCTCCAGAAAACAAGAAATAAATTTCCCGTTTGAAATGTAGCCTCTCTGTACCAGAAGGCAGAGAGATCCTTCATATCAAAGATAGGAAATTTAGAGCCATAAAGACTCTATAAACAACTCTTGTTACTTTTTATTTAATTTACGACTCCAGCCCAGATTCTCTTTGGAAGCCCTTGCTAATTGAAGCCCCTGAAGTTAAGTTTTCTTTGTTCTGTCAATTCCTCATAGATTTATTGTCTCTTTGTCTAAAGAGTAGGAAAACTGCCTGCCTTGGTTATTTGCGAGAGCACCTGGCAATTAGTCAATGACAGTTAACATGATCATACTAGTTATGGCTCCAACCACCTGCACCTTAGAATATGGCCTCATTTGGAAGTAAGATTGTTTCAGATATACATTAAGATGAGGTCATTATGGAGTAAGGTGGGCACTAAATCTAATGACTGATGTCCTCATCAAAAGGGGAAATTTGGACTCAGATGTGTGCATGGGGAGAATATCATGTGTCGACACAGGGAGAAGATAGCCGTCTACACAGAGAGACACCTTGCCTTCCCTTGTCGCCCTCAGGAAGAACCAGCTCTGTTTTCCTCTGAAACTTCTTGCCTCCAGAACTGTGAGAGTGTTAAGTTTCTGTTGTTGCCCAGTTTCTGGTCGTTTGTTATGACAAGGAAACATATATTTCCTTATTAGATCCTCACAAATCTCTTCAATAAGAATTCTGTGTTAAGATTTGTTTACATCTCTGTCTAGGATGTAAAACCGTAAGTATTGCTTATAGTAGATTTTGTAATTTGCTTTTAAGGGACTAGGTTCTGGGACTCACATGACTTATTTATTGTGTTTTCTCTCTACACATATCAGGACTTGCTCTGTTTATCAGCAGTCATTGGACTTCAGCATGATTACTTCTCTGTTGCTGGCTTTTGTGGCAATTTTAGCTTCCTGTGTCTTGAAAGTCAGCTCCCTGGATACCTTTATTGCAGCTGTCTATGAGCATGCGGTGATACTGCCTAACACTGCTGTAATACCAGTGTCCCATGAAGAGGCATTGGCATTAATGAACCAAAATCTGGATCTTTTGGAGACAGCGATCACTTCAGCAGCAAAACAGGTACCATCTCTCAACTGTGCTAGATTCCATGTAGAGGAAGAGTGGGGACAGGGTCACTGTCAAGTTCAGTTATACTTTTGGATGATATATGTCTCAGGGAAGCCAACAACTTTTGCTCTACAATCAGAGTCCTCCCTCCTTCTCAGAGTTATTACAGCCAGGATACTATTATGCTTCCCTGAGTGAGACAAAGTTAAGAAAAGAATGGCTTCATCATCATTAAGTCGCGGCAGACCTTTAAGGAACTTGCTGTGAATTTCACAACTTTGCTCCTGTCCCTTTGCCGCACACGAAGGAGTCAGGACTGGGCGCTGTGCCTTACAGTATTAGCAGCCTTGGTACACTTTTGTGCTCTTAAGTGTGTGCAGGTTTTCAGATTAGTTCATCACACCAAACTAAAGTTAAGAAGTTGCAAATTATTTAATATGCATCATGTACTTCATACTTCATTCTAATTACAAGGTAAAAGTATATATGTTAATGAATAGTAAGTCCTTGAGTTCAATGAAGGGTTAGGTTTCAGTGTGTGGTTTGAACGGTATGGTTTAAATAAGATATTCGTAGATCAGGTATAGAGGAGGGATATGTAGAGTGAGTCATGAATATCTATATATAAGTTACACATTACATCTTACATTTACATCAATACACATTCTTATACATACACAAATTATAAAGGTTATTAAGAATTCTGAGGTTCTTTTGCACCCTTAGTGCAGCCATTTTCTTAAAGGCTGCAGCAGCTTTCAGGATGACTCTCCCATCTGAAGGTGCCCTGGTTAGTGCGGGGTGTCCCTCTGGGCTTGGCACACTTCAGGTAACCAGTGTCTGAGTGCCCTCCTTCTGAGAAACCAGACTCACTTTTGCAGGATACGGAGCAGGGAAGGCTGGAATGGAGGAGGAAGTAAAAACCAAGACTCTTGAGTATAAATCAATCCGGTGACACTCAGACACAACATCTGACCGAAGTCCAGAGAAGGGAAGTGATTTTGAAAAGAGCTGGATTTACAATTAACTGCTGTGGGTGGTAAACATGTAAAGCTATTGATGTTTATGGAAGAACGAGAAAGTTGTCTAGAAATGGCAACAGTGGGATTAGACAATAAAAATGGCTGGGTTGAGAAAACAAGTTATAAAAATAGAGAAAACAAAGGATTAAGACTGAAAGAAAAAAAAGCCTGGTTTCTCATCTACTCAGTTGCTCAGGTCATCTTCCAGACTTCTCTTGGAACATTTCCTTAATTGAGAAATTTTTAATTAAGGTACATTTTTCGCAGGGTGCACATATTATTGTGACTCCAGAAGATGGTATCTATGGCTGGAATTTTACCAGGGAAACTATCTACCCATACTTGGAGGATATCCCAGACCCTGAGGTGAACTGGATCCCTTGTAATAATCCCAACAGGTAAAGAAACAGATGGCAGACAATTCGATCATGAATTGTTACCTGGAAGAACTTCGTAGAAGATTTATGCATAAGATTCACTATCAACTTGAAGTTCAAGATGATTTTATTATTTTTCATCTGCTCTGGATACATTTACTAGGGGAGTGAATATGAATTGTGAAATCACCGAGATCAGTGTTGGAAGGTCCCATAGAAACCACCAACTTGAGTGTGAATATATTTTCCTTGAAGTAATGAATCTGGAGAGACAATAGCATAAATTACTTATGGTTTACAAAGGTAGTTGGTTAGTGGGAGAACCAGAATCAAACTCTAGGCTCTGACTTTTTGTCAGTGAACAAAATACTGTTTCCCCATATGGGCACTGTAATTTGAAAACTGAGAAAATGGTAAAAGTGTCACATGTTAGTTTAAGATAGAAAATTTCCCTTTTACATTAATAAGATAGCTAAAGGAGGTTAATGTGAGTGAAATCCTGAGAGCTTAAGTTAATTACTGGTGTCATTGAGTTATGTGAGTGGTTTAAGTCGGGGGTAGACTAACGAAATATGACATATGATGAAAGTAGCACTATTTTTTTTAGTGTAAGCAAAGCAATACCTTCTATATCTAAGAGAAGTATCTCTGTTAACTCACTTCTTTCCAAAGACAAGTTGCCAACATCATTAAGAACTCCTGTTTTGGAAATGCTCTCAAAACCATGCAAACCAACTACTGTAACTGCTTATAGAGATACCCTGATTTTGACAAAGTTCAGTATTATTTATTCTTAATGATCTACTTCCTTCATATTTTATTGTATCATCATGATTCAATGCTAGATTTTCAGCTTTTAAGGGGTAAGCACTCTGTGGTCACTTCCATTAGGTATTGACTTCACTTGATCTGAATGACCTTTTCCCAGAACCACATTTCCAAGGGCCTCTTGGAAATCCCCAGAAGACCCTTCCATACATTCCATTTCAGGAAATCTGGTTGCCCTTCCTTTTGTCCATCAACTAATGACATCTCCATTCCTTGCCTTCATTCATTTATTCAACTTTGTGTGGGCGTACTTATTATGTACAGGCACTATTCTGGATAGTAGAGTGGACAAAATAGATTAAAACACTCTGTCTTCCTGGAGCTTATATTATAGTGTGGGGAGATAGTCAATGAAAAAAAGATAATATCTATTTAGTTATCTATTATCTCACTACTTATCTATGCCATGCAGTAAAGATAAATGTTATGGAGAAAAACAAAAGCAGGGCTGGTGAATATGGCAGCAAGCAAGGGCTTAAATTTTTGGTCATCGGTTGGCTTCATGGTAACATCTCAACAGAGATTTGGAAGAATTGAGGGAGCAGGTCATATGGGTGTGTTTTCTAACAAAGCATTTTGGAGCCTTTCCTGGATGCAGCAAACAGTCCAAAAAATGTAGTTTAAATCTACATATAGTAGAATATATGATGTACTTTCAAGATTAATAGTCAGGAGGGAAACATGTAACTGGAAACTGAAACATGTAACAAGAAACTGAAGTTTCTTGTATATAACACGTAACTGGGACTGTTTAAGAAATCCCAGGCACCAGGCTTCTATTTCAATGTACTATCTACCATTTGTGGAGATCTGAGAAGACTTGGACTAAATATGTTTCAAGTCATTCAACGTGTTGTGTTTACATCTATCTCGTTCAGACAATAATTGAAGCAAACAAGGGAGAACAACTATCAAATAGTCATTCTTTATATAAATGCATTAAAACAATAATTTTTGATGTGGCTTCTCATCCTTATTGGTCTTTTTCAAGGATATGTTTTGTAGATAATTGCTCATACTAATTGTGCCAATTTGTTTATAGATCTGTCTAGATTTCCTACTCAAAGAAAGCTTTTACTATTGCCAGCAGATGGCACCAAATTCCCATTCATTCACCAGTAATTTTACCCTTCTCAGCTACTCTTCAAATTTTTACTTTTTTTAATTTTTTTAAATGTTTTTATTTATTTCTAGGAGAGAGAGAGAGAGAGACAGCGTGAGCACGGGGGGGTCAGAGAGAGAGGGAGTCACAGACTGAAACAGGCTCCAGGCTCTGAGCTGGCAGTCAGCACAGAGCCCGATGCGGGGCTCGAACCCACGAACCGCGAGATCATGACCTAAGCGAAAGTCAGACGCTTAACCGGCTAAGCCACCCAGGCGCCCCTCTCAGTTACTCTTCAATAACCTAGTATTAACCATTTATTATATAAAGATTGTGCCAAAAAAAGAATAAATATGTCTCTATGTTATATATTCTGAGTTCTCACTTTTGAAGATTGCATTTTAATTGATTTACTGGGACAACTATTGGTAACATGATAAAGAATAAGGAAACCAAACATTAACAAAAGTTCCAGTATTTCCAGTTCTGCATACTGTCTAGCACCAGTCTAGACCAACCCTTATTGCTTTTAACCTGAACTATTGCAACAGTTTCCTAAAATTCCCTACATTTAGCCTCTCACCATTCTAGTACATTCTACACCCTAATGCCCTATTATCTTAAAAATAATTCAGGTCATGTTACTTCCATCCTCAAAACCTTTAATGGTAACGTTCTGTTGATTACATTTAAAGTAAGCTTTTCAGCTTCTTTTGCTGAGCTCTATCTTTTATGACCCCAAGTGCACCTTTTTAAATTTCCCCTTTCTTTTTCCTCCATAAAGATGCCTCTGCTCCAACCAGATTGACTACTTCCTTGAACAAGATTTCCCTTTTCGTAACCTCCAAAAGGTTATTTTTTTCTAATATTTTTTATTGAGGTAAAATACACATAACATAAAGTTTATTATCTTTTTTCCTTTTATAATTTATTGTCAAGTTGGTTTCCATATAACACCCAGTGATCATCCCAACAAGTGCCTCCTTCATGCCCATCACCCCTTTTCTCCTCTCCCCCACCTGCATCAACCCTCCGTTTATTCTCAGTATTTAAGTGTCTCTTATGTTTTGCCTCTCTCACACTCCTTAACTATTTTTTTCCCCTTCTCCTCCCCCATGGTCTTCTGTTAAGTGCTTCCTGTTCCACATATAAGTGAAAATATATGGTATCTGTCTTTCTCTGCCTGACTTATTTCACTTACCATAACATCCTTGAGTTCCATCCATGCTGCTAAACATGGCCAGTTTTCATTCTTTCACATTGTCATGTAGTATTCTATTGTATACATAAACCACATCTTCTTGATCCATTCATCAGTTGATAGACATTTAGTCTCTTTCCATGATTTGGCTATTGTTGAGAGTGCTGTTATGAACATTGGGGTGCATGTGCCCATATGCATCAGCACTCCTGTATCCCTCAGGTAAATTCCTAGCAGTGTTACTCCTGGGTCACAGGGGAGTTCTATTGTTAATTTTTTGAGGAACCTCCACACTGTTTTCCAGAGGGGCTGCACCAGTTTACATTCCTACCAACAGTGTAGAAGGGTGCTCCTTTCTCCACATCCTCGCCAGCATCTCGCGTTCTCTGATTTGCTCATTTTAGCCACTGACCGGCGTGATGTGGTATCTCAGTGTGGTTTTGATTTGTATTTCCCTGATGATGAGTGACGTTGAGCATCATTTCATGTGTCTGTTGGCCATCTGGATGTTCTCTTTGGAGAAGTGTTTTTTCATGTCTTCTGCACATTTCTTCACTGGACTGTTTTATTTTCACGTGTGGAGTTTGGTGAGTTCCTTATAGATTTTGGATACTAGCCCTTTATCTGATGTTATTTGCATAAAGTTTACTATCTTAACCATTTTTAAATGTGCAGTCAGTGGTATTAAGTTTATTCATATTCTTATCCGACCATTACCATCATCCACCTCCAGAACTCTTTTTTATCTAGCAAAACACAAAACCTTGTGACCCTTGCACAAGGATAACATGCAAATTCCTTCAACATGTCGTATTTTTAGAAATGAAAGAGGAGACATTATGTTCACATGAAATCATAGAAATACTAAAGAACATAAGAAAGAGACTACTATGAACAATTAAATGCCAACAAATTGGACAACTTAGCATAGATTTATAGAAACAGGAAACCTACCAAGACCAAATCATGAAGAAATAGAAAATTTGAACATACTAATAATGAGTAAGGATATTGGATCAGTAATCAAAAAACTCGCAATGAAGGAAAGCCCAGGACCAGATGGCTTACAGTCAAATTCTATCAAACTATTAAAGAAGAATTAATGCCAATCCATCTGAAACTCATCTAAAAAAATTAAGAGGAGAGAACAGTCTTTTATGAGACCAACATTACCTTAATGCCAGAATTAGATAAAGATGCCACAATAAAATAAAGCTATAGGTCAATATCCCTGATGAATATAGATGTAAAAATACTTATTAAAATACTAGCAAACCAAATTCGATGGCATATTGAGAGGATCATAAACCATGATTAAGTGGAATTTGTCCCTGGGATGCAAGAATGTTTCAATATATGTAATCAAAACATGTGATACACCACATTAATAGAATGAAACATAAAAATCGTATCATTTCAATAGATACAGAAAAAGCATTTGACAAAATTCAACATATTTTCATTTTAGAAACTTTCAACAAAGTGTGTAAAAAAGAATATATCTCAACATAATGAAGACCATTGGTAGCAAGCCCATGGCTAACATCACCCTCAGTGATGAAGTTTGAATTTTCCCTCTAAGATCAAGAAAAGATAATATCGATATTCCTATTCTATTATTACTGGAAGTCTTAGCCAGAGCAATTAGGCAAGAAAAGGAAATAAATGGCATCCAAATAGGAAAGTAAGAAGTCAAATTGTTGATGTTTGCTGATCATACAGTCTTGCATAAAGAAAATCCTAAGGACTTCACCAAAAGCTATTAGAGTTAACAAATGAATTCAGTAAAGTTGCAGGATATAAGATCAATGTACAAAAAATCAGTAGGATTTTATATAATAACAATGAACTATCTTAAAGAAGAAATAAAACAGTCTCATTTGCAAAGCA